TATCTTGAATGGCCTACCTCCTACGTTTAATTCTTTTAAATCCACAATCAGAAATTCTCTTCTACCGATTGATTTGGATACATTCTACGCTCTCCTGTGCAATGAAGAAATTCATTTACAGCAGGAATCTCTTCAAGATCAGTCCTCTCAATCCAACACGACCGCCCTCTACGCAGTGAGCTTTCCCAATCAGCGCAATCGCAACAACACCAAACGGTATCCCAAATCAAAGATCCAACAGCCTCCGCCGCCTTCCCCGTCCACTCAGCACAACTCGTCCACAGCTCGCCCAACTTGCCAAATCTGTGGCAAGCCCGGCCATGTTGCATTGAACTGCTGGCATCGGTGCAATTTCAAATACGCACCGACTGATACTCGTCAGCCTCGCGCTCTTCTTGCGACTCCCACCACCACCGCCAGTCAAGATTGGGTTCTTGACACAGGAGCTTCGGCACACCTCACTCCCGACGCCAATCAACTCTATTATCCGACGAGCTACAACGGGTCGGACACCGTCTCTACTGCGAATGGCTCCTCCATCCCGATACACCACACAGGTCAAGGTCTTCTTCCGCTCCCGGACTCGTCTCGTAAGCTTCTTCTTCACAAACTTCTTCATGTTCCGCTGCTCACCCACAATCTTCTCTCGGTATCTAAACTTACTTCTGAAAATAATATCTCTATTACTTTTGATGCTAATGGATTTACTATGAAGGATCTTCGGGACCAACAACCTCTTCTTCGTGGACAGCTTCGTAACGGTCTCTACAGCATTCGACTCTCCTCGGATGATCGTCACACTGCTTTATCCTCCACCGTCTCGCCCACGATCAACTGGCATTCTCGGCTCGGTCACCCGAACAAGTCCACCTTATCTGTTCTGGCTAAGAATTTTTCAGACATTTTACCTGTATCTGATTCTTTTATTTGTGATTCTTGTAACCAGGCCAAGAGCCACAAACTTGTTTTTAATAAAAGCGTTTCTAGTTCTACTACTCCTTTTGAATTGATTCACACAGATGTTTGGGGTTCGGCATCGCAACCCTCTCTCGACGGGTTCCGTTACTACATCATCTTCGTCGACGACTACACGCGGTTCTTCTGGATTCATTTTCTTTACACAAAGCAAGAAGTGCTTTATAAATTTAAAATTCTTTGCAACTTAATTCGCACACAATTCCACACCACTCCTCGCACTCTCAGATCCGACGGTGGTGGCGAATTTACAAGTCAGGCGTTCAAATCATTTCTTCAGGATAACAGTATCATACAACAGCTATCTTGTCCTCATACACCGGAACAAAACGGGATAGCCGAACGCAAACATCGGCATCTTCTCGACCTCACGAGAGCACTGCTTCATGAGTCCGGACTCCCGCACAAGTTCTGGGCCGACGCAACGTCTACAGCAAATTACCTCATTAATCAACTACCCTCCAAAGCCGTTGCCAATCAGATACCGTACCAAAGACTGCACGGCCTTCCGCCGACTTACAACCACCTTCGCACATTCGGCTGCCTCTGCTATCCCTAGCTCAGACCCTACGCTCCGGACAAATTATCTCCTCGCTCTCGCGCCTGTGCTTTCATCGGCTACTCGGTTCTACATAAAGGCTACAAGTGCTATGACATCTCCTTAGGTAAAACTTATACCTCTCGGCACGTTGTCTTTCATGAAAGGCAATTTCCCTATAAAACCAGAGATCAACCCAATCATCCCAACACCCCAAATGAGCCACCGAACATACCTCCCTCTCTTCTCATTCCCCCATCTACTTTATCCCAACCCACCACTCACGCCGTCCCGAAACAGAACACCCCTACTCACAAGAATCCTATTACACCTTGTCATTCAACCTTACATACATCTGATGACCCTTACAATACTTTACCTCAAACAAATCCTTCACCTCAGCCGATTGTTCCTGCTCTTCCACCTCACCCCATGATCACTAGATTAAAATCAGGAATTAGCAAGCCACGAAAAATCTTCAATCTGCTCACTCACACTTCTTCTCACGACACTCCCTCATCCTACACTCACGCTCTCAAAGTGCCGCACTGGAAGAATGCCATGGCTGCTGAAATTGAGGCCCTTCGTCATCAAGCCACTTGGTCTCTTGTTCCGCCGCCACCGAATAAACCCATCCTTTGGTTGCAAATGGACGTTCAAAACAAAGCTTCTACCCACAGGACAGGTCGATCGTCACAAGGCACGGCTTGTGGCACTCGGGAACTACCAACAATTCGGCATCAATTACACCGAAACCTTCAGCCCTGTCGCCAAGATGCCAACAATCCGTCTCCTACTAACTTTAGCTCTCCATCGTCAGTGGCCAATGCACCAACTAGACGTCTCCAATGCATTCCTACATGGTGATTTACCGGATGACATCTACATGAGGCAGCCCCCCGGCTTCGTCGATCCAACCAAACCAACGGCAGTTTGCAAACTACATAAATCACTCTACGGGTTGAAGCAGACGCCTCGACAATGGTTTCAAAAACTCACAACATTCCTTCAATCGCAAGGCTTCTCCTTCAGTCGCTCGGATCCGTCTCTACTTATTCTTAACAACGGCCAGCTCCAATTATACATCCTAATTTACGTAGATGACTTCCTTGTCACGGGCAATGACGCAGCAGCTATACAACATTTACTCCATCAGCTTCAGACACAATTTGCTCTCAAACAACTAGGCCAAATTTCACTCTTTCTCGGCATCCAGGTAACTCAATCCTCAACCGGCTACTTCCTTTCACAAGAACATTATGCTACTAAATTGCTCAACGACGCAGGTTTCAAGGACTATAAACCAGCTCCTACGCCGATCACGCCCAAGTCCAACCCAATGCCCGCTCTCAGTCCGCCATTCTCGGATCCATCCTTGTACTGCTGGCTTGCAGGCTCACTTCAATATCTGTCCATCACCAGGCCAGACATCGTATACGCTACAAACCGGGTTTGTCGGCACATGCAGCAACCGACCGAGCAAGAATTCAAGGACCTCAAACGTCTCCTTCAGTACATCAACAGCACCCTATCATTCGGCCTACCTATCACCATTGGCAATCTTGAATTACATTCCTACTCGGATGCGGACTGGGCATCCGACACGACCGACCGAAAGTCCATATCAGGTTTTTGCACTTTTCTCGGCCCAAATCTTATTTCCTGGACTATGAAAAAGCAAGCTACGGTGGCCAAATCGTCCACCGAAGCCGAGTACCGGTCTCTCTCCGCTGCCGCATCAGACGTCCTTTGGCTTCGTCGCCTCGCACTCGAACTACAGCTTCCGCAACCCGCCCCTACAGTCATTCATTGTGACAACACTTCAGCTATCGCCATTGCCAAGAATCCCGTATTCCATGCACGAACCAAACACATCGAGATCGACTACCACTTCATCCGTCAACAAATTAGCTCCGGCGACATCAGGCTAGCTCACATTTCTTCTAAAGATCAAGTGGCGGATATACTTACAAAACCGTTTTCAATAACACGGTTCAACGATCTTAGAAGCAAATTAATCATTCGTTCCACGAATGATTAATTTGAGGGACCATATTAGAATACTGATATATATACTCTTTAGCTATTTACGTTTGTACCTAGTACTGACTTTAAATACACATATATCCTGTAACTTAACACATTAAAATACAATTTCTATTTTCTCCTTTTCTTGGTTTTCCCAGCGTTTCCTCTGTCTCCCTGCTCGTTGCCTTCTTTCCATCAAATTATTTGAGCAATGAGGGTTTTGAAGAGAGGAAGTATCATCGGCAGTGGCGTCGTCGATGTCTTCGAGTGAGAAGTTGGGGATCTCAGTCCGAGAAGCTTCGCTAATGTTTTTGGCAAATACTTCACGAACGTTCCATGATCAAAGGACTCAATATCGGCCGTCCATCCAATCACTCCCCATTTACCCTTGATCTCTCACCTATTTACTGGCCATGCCACTCCAGAAATCTATAAATAGACCCCACATTTCTCTTGAAAAAGGACCCAAGCAAGAAGAGAACAAGAGTAGAGAAAGAAGAGAAGGAAGAAGCTCCTCCTCAACCAACGCCGGAGCCTCGCCGGACCACCACCGGAGCCTCGCCGGACCACCGCTGAAACCTCGCCGGACCACCGACGGAGCCTCGCCGGACCATCGACGGAGCCTCGCCGAACCACCGTCGGAGCTTCGTCGGGCCACCACCTAAGGCCCTCACCCTCGCCGGACCACCGACGGAGCTTCACCGGAGTACCACCTATGCCCTCACCCACGCCGAACCATCGCCGGAGCCTCGCCGGACCATCGCCGAAGTTTCGCCGGACCACCACCTGAGACCCTCACCTTCGTTAGAGGCCCTCTCATTCACTAGAGGCCATCACCTTCACTAGAGATCCTCATCTTTACCTGAAGCCCTTACATTCACCAGAGGCCCTCACCTTCGACAGACTACCGTCAGAGGCCTTCACCTTCGCTATAAGCCCTCACCTTCGCCAGACCACCGTTAGAGGCCTTCACCTTCGCTAGATCTCCACCAGAGATCCTCACTTTCCTGGATCATCACCAAACACCCTGAATTTTGTTAGACCATCACCTTAGGCCCGAAGTTCTGCCATACCATCACCTGACACCCGGACTTCTATCGTACAGTTGTTATTTGTAATCTGATCGCCCTCATAGGCGAGTCAGGCAATTGTAACCGACTCAAATTCTAGTGAAATCATTTTCAACTAGGTCAGGCCTTATGGTTTTTCACCTTTTAAGGGTTTTCCACGTAAAAAATCTTGTGTTTTCTGTTTGTGAGCTGGATATCCGTGCAAAACTAAGACGTATAGTTAAAACTCTATCGCCGCGTATATTCAACCCCGCAACAAAAAAACGTACTAAATTATTTGTATGAACAATACAATTTTGTGAAACACATAAACTTGTAACTTGATCATATAAAAATAAACATTTTTTAACAAAATTTAATGTAATTTAAATTTTACAGTCCCGCCTTACAAAATTTTGTGCAAATATAACAATTAGCGCTTAACTAGCAAAAAAAAGTAGAAAAAGACCACAACGGTCTTATTTCAAATAAAACAAAAATAATTGAATGGCTGAATTTCGCCCTTTTAAAAGGTCCAACTCCACTGCCATTCTGTCTCTTTACCGAGACGAGTTGTCCTAGGGCTGCAGTCGGTTTTCTTCTATATTTCCTCCCCATCAATGGATTCCGGCTTCTCGGCGCCGCCGCCACCGCCGCCCGGACTGGCCATCATCTCTAAAACGTTCACAAAGTTTCTACGCCTACGCCGCAGCAACTACAACTCAGGGACAACCACGGAGGCCGCCAAAGACGATGTCTTCCTTAATAACCAAAAACTTTCTAGCGACCTCACCGGAGACCGAGAAAAGGAAATGGAAGCACTTACAGCGAATATCTTCGCCGCCGTATCTGCAGTCAAGGCCTCCTACGCTCGGCTCCAGCTCGCTCAAACGCCGTACGACCCGGATGCCATCCAGTCCGCTGACCGCGCCATTGTAACCGAGCTCAAGCGTCTTTCTATTCTGAAACAGGGCTTTTATAACAGAGCTGAGCTCAGTGAGAGCTCAAAGAGAGCTCAACCAGAGCTCACCGCCCAGGTCGAGGAGCTGTGCAACCTGCTCAAAACCTACAAAATCACCACCGCGAAGCTGGAATCAGAGCTCTTGTCTAAGGACTCCGAAGTGATATATCTCCAGTCGGAGCTTCGAGTAGCCGAAAAGAGGTGTCGAGCCCTGGAGGCCCGACTCCGGCCCGGCCGAACCCTTGCAGCACTGGACGAGCTCCATCTCTCCGGCCTCAACCCCACCCACTTCCTCACTCTCCTCCGCTCTGCTGTCAAATCCATTCGTTCCTTCGTCAAAATCATGACCCACGAAATGGAATCCGCCGGCTGGGACCTTGACGCGGCGGCCGGTGCGATCCAACCGGAACTCCTTCGCCGGTTGAACCCGAAAAATAGAGTCTTTGCTTTCGAGTCTTTCGTCTCGCGTTTAATGTTCTCTGATTTCCAGAAATCCGACTTCGGCCTGGGAGGACCGGTAATTGACCGTCGGCGATTCTTCGCCGAGTTCAGCGAACTTAAGTATATGAAGCCAAAAGAATGCTTTCATAAAACCTCCCAATTTGGGAAGTTTTGCAGGGGAAAATATATTAGATTGGTACATCCGAAGATGGAAGCTTCGTTCTTTGGCGACCAGGAGCAACGAGCGATGCTGAGTTCCGATCGAGGGCTGCCGGAGACGGATTTCTTCGATGGTTTTTCTGAGATGGCGAGGCAAGTTTGGCTACTTCATTGTTTGTTCTTTTCCTTCGAAACAGAGGAGAAGGGAGGCATCTTTGGGGTGAAGAAAGGGAGCCGATTCTCAGAGGTGTATATGGAGAGCGTGGCAGTGGAGGATGTTGGTGTCTATCGCCGTCCGGCGGTTGGTTTCACGGTGGTTCCGGGGTTTAAGGTGGGGAAGACGGTGATCCAGTGCAGGGTGTATCTGATAGCTTGCAACAGCTGACAGACGGAGTGAACGGTTCCGATAGCCTGGGTTTGTGTGCCTGATGCTTACCGTGCGGTGTGTTGGGTCTGGTCCTCCGTGGGCCCGCTTCGTCTATTTTCTTTCGAGGAAAACGAATGAGAGGTAAAAAAACTCATTCCCAAAACTCCTCCGAATTTTAGGGTTCATGTATAGCTTAACGCGTTCAATGAATTTGTAATGGGTACTGAAGAAATGCTAGAATTTAATCGTTAAATGATGCTCTTTAATTAGTCATCGGGTTTATATGATCGCGTCTATTTCCGACATGACGTGTCGATCTTCTATTTTGATTTATTTGTGTTATGTTTGGTGAGTAATTTGGCCGCCCAAAAACAATTTTGGTCAACAAACCAACAAAGATTTTGATCAACCATTAAATTGACCAAAAGTTAGACCTGCAATGTATTATGGGCTAGAATATTAGCTATTTAAAAAGAAGCATAATATTAAGTGAAATGTTGTAGAGATAAGGATGAGTGACTTTACTCTTAGAGATAAGATGTGAAATGAGCACATACTTGAGAAGGTTGGAGTTGCTACAGTAGCAGATAAGATTAGAGAGAGAGTCCTCTTAGATGATTTGGTCACATAAAAGGGCGGCCTTCCGATGATCCGATTAGGAGAATAGATGTATTAGATTTAACCTATGTTAAGAAAGTAAGAGGTAGGCCTAAAAAGACTTAGAAAATATTAGAAATGACTTTTATTTGTTAGATCTAAATGAGACTTTTACTCGGGATGTTTTTCTCTAGGGTTTTCTCCTGGGTTTTCAGCCGCCTCTCGTTTTTCCTCCCTGACTTCGTCTCTTCTTCTTCATGGAGGCGAATCGATTACGGGATCTTGGTTTCCTTGATGGTAAGCCTAAATCTAGATCTTTTTGGGATGCTTTAGCCGGAGATGCTCCTCCTTCGGAGTTTCCGCCTTTGCGGGTTGCTTCTCATCTAGGTATGCCTGCTTTACTTATTTCGGATGAGGAACTTCATGCTCTTGCGATTCCTTTCGAGTTTGCTTTGGTTGGTAAATTTTCAGCCCGTCGTCCGTCTCTTGAAGTGATTCAGAAATTTCTTTTTCAATCTTCTGTTGGCCGGAGCTTTTTCTGTCACGGTTTTGAATCAAAAAAATGTCTTGATTAAGCTAGTGAATGACCTAGATTATTGTAGGGTTTTCTCTCACCGATCTTATTTCATTTCCAATTGCTTCATGAAGTTATTCAAATGGGCTCCGCTTTTTGATGTCTCTGTGGAATCACCCATAGTTCCTATTTGGGTATCCTTTCCTAATCTCCGTCCGCATTTGTTTTCTCCTCTTATCCTTCATGGGTTGGGTTCCATGTTTGGTCGGCCTTTGCGTATCGATAACGCCACGATGAATGGTACCCGCCCCTCTGTTGCTCGTATTTTGGTAGAGTTGGATGTTACCAAACGATATGCTAAACAAGTTTGGCTTGGTTCGGAAGCAGTTGGTTATACCCAATTGATTGAGATGGAGGATTTTCCCTCTTATTTCTTTCACTATAAGTCTTTGGGGCATGCGAAGGATTGCTGTCCAGGCCTGGGAGGACCGGTACTTGATCGCCGCCGATTCCCAATCATTCGGAGGTGGATGCTGGTATTCCCGTCACTATTTCTGAGGAGGTTCCTATGGTTGATGAGGGGGTGATAGTGAATGCTATTAAGTCTTCTGTGGTGCCTGGTAATGGAGATATTACTATTTTATCACCTCTGGTTGATGTTTCTAAAGGGCGGGTTATTGTGTGTAGGGAAGATGGTTTTTTGGAGGAGAATGGCTTGTTGGTGGTGTCGTCGGAGACGGTTAATTTATTTGGAGAGGGTGGTAATGCTGAAGTTGGTGAGGTTTGGTTGGATCGGACAATTTTGATGGTGATTGTGTGGCGGGTGAAAATTTTTTGGGGTCTATGGCCCATCTCGATTCCTCGACTCCACCTGTCTTAGGTGTTGGTATTTCTGGTTTGAATATGGACTCTTCTGTGGACGGTTCTGGTGTGGTTAATGTTGTTTCTTCTGTTGGTAATGATGGTATTGTTGGGAATGAGCTGCGGGTTAATGCTAACTCTTTTATTAATGTGCCCGTTAACTTGGTTGAGACCAAAGATTTGGTGTATCATGTTCGTGATAATGCAGGGATGAATGTTAGGACACATATTGATTGGTTGCGCTCGTCTGATGTGGAATTTGAATATGACTCCGGCTCAGATCATTGTGGTGGTTCTGATCCGGGTCAGGATTTTCGTTTGGTTCGAGACCGTCCTGTTGTTGCCTCTCGCGGAAGATTTCGTGGCCGGGGCAGGAGAGGAAGATAGCTTTTGTGGTTTTCATGATTTGGCAATTTTCGTTATATTGTTTATCCACTATGTTCCTTTTTTGGTCATTTCGCCTGTACTGTGGATCGGAGTGTTTCTTGGGCTATGATGTGGCCGGGGCTCGCTTTCCCCGTGTCACTGCTGGTGGAAACCTTTGGCGATTTCTCGCCTTATTGGATGGTCTTTTGCGTGGCTTGGGAGGGCTGGGAGCCTCGGCATTTTCTGAGCCCTCGTTCGGTGTTCTCCTTGCATTTTTTGCTTTCTTTTTTTGGGCCTCTTTCGCCTGATGCTCACTTTAGTTTGTATCCCTTTATCTTTTTATTCTAATGATATTTTTGTTAAAAAAAAAAAAAAACACAATGAAGAAAAAAGGATTCATGTATCCAATTCCACGTAGTGGGATAAAGACTTGTTGTTGTTGTATACTTTCTTACAACAACAACAACAACATCAAGCCTTTATCCCACTACGTGGGGTCGGCTACATGAATCCTTTTTCTCCATTGAGTCCTATTAAAAGCCAAATTCTCGTTCAAATCTAATAAAGAATGGTCATTCCTAATATTTTCTAACCAAGTCTTTTTAGGTCTACCCCCTACCTTTCTTAACACAAGTCAAATCTAATACCTCTACTCTCTTAACTGGGTCGTCGGAAGGCCAAAACTAAAATGTATAAAGCTATATATAAAAATAAGATTATTTAAATTAAAAATGTAGGTAGTAAATTAAAAGTTAAAAAGAAAAAAAACGATGCTGGTCTATTATACTAGCTATGTCTTCATCTTTTCACATGATCACTCAAAATGGAGCTTTGGATGGAGAGTTTGATTTCGATGTTTAATGTTGAACAGCGAGTGTGAAAGTTATATAATAAGAGCATCTATTAGTTGATTGCCAAGTGATATATCAACATTTTTTTTATTTGTTTTCAACTAAAGTGATAATCAACAATTCGTTGCAAAATCTCTACGAACAATTCGTTGCAAAATCTCCTTCCATAGTTAAAATGTCTGCCCCCTTATATACAAGCAAGAGATAGCCTAGAAGTTCAAGGGAGAAAGAGTGTGCATTTACGACATAGAGGAAAGGCAGAAGTGTAATGAATTGGAGGTTTTGAAGGGTTCATGTATGTTTATTTAAAGATTTTAAGGTGGTTCTAAGGCAAGAATTAAATTAAAGATCAATTCTAAGACTATAATAATTTAGAGCTAGATGTAACGAGATAATAGGGTGGGCAAGATACGTAAAAATATGATATAGAAAGTTTAATGTGAAGCGAAAATTAAAATGATGATATGGAGGACAATATTGATTGTCCTAATTAATGGGTGATTAAAAAGATCATCATGGGGGAAATTGAGCTAGGCTAATACATGAGATGATTAGGGTAGCTTATTTCTTTTTTTCATACAACTAATAGCAATACAAGAAAATTAGGGTTTCCAATAAAATGCCCACCATCAAAGTTGCACTTACTTGGAAAAATGCAATTTCGATGGATTTCAGATAATTTTTCAACTATGAGAAAAATCTATAGGAAACACTTCTTATGAACGAAAAATTCATAGAAAAAACATCATTCAAGTAGAATATCTATTGATGTCAAAAAATAAAAATCAATGAAGTCTCTAATACAATATCTATGAAGGGGACAGAATAAGTTGATTTCATTCGTTATTTTATTTTTTCTTTCAAATGGTTTTTTGTAATTCTATAAATGAAATTTGAAATTGATGGTTTTTAGGAAGGTGTGTTGTATCTTCAAATTTTTTGAAGAAGATGTTTGCTTGGAGCAAATTGGGTCAAATAGATATGATGGAAGGTGGCACAATGAAAGAATCTAGAATGGACAATCACTACTAGTTGAGAAAGAGGAAAGTAAATGATAAATAGGATTGAGTTGGTTTGAATTATTGCGCAACACAAGTAAATTTTTTTTTTTTTAATGAAATTTTTTGTTGAAAATTAAGCCACATGTAGCTGTAGAATATTCCATTAGAATATTTGCTTTTTTTCTATCTTGCAACACATGACATGGTGGACAATTTAAAAACCATTACATACGCTAAAATAGAATAAATGACGGAATAATATGAAGGTCCAAATATAATAAGACTTGAAATACTTGACAGTATCCCATGCCCATAACAGAAGAGGGTGAATTGATTGATGTCTTATAAAATTTTTAATAATATTAACATAAGTCTTTAGAAAATTTTAGATCACCAAAATTAAATTGATTCCCTTTAATTTCGAAGGTAGTTTTATCACACTTTGAGTAAAATAATTTTTTTTTTATATTTATAGAAATCTCAAACAATTTTCAAAAATATATAAATATAATTTTAATATTTCTTTTCAAATGATCAACAATAATGCAATCAAAATTGACTAGGTGAAAACATTGCTATAACCAAAAAAAAAGAAACTAAAAGATATAAAATTGATTTTTATAGTTGTTCAGTTAACCTGACCTATGTCAACTCTCAAATAATTTCACTAACATACTCCTCCCACCAAAGCGGTGAAACCCCTCTTCTTCACTGTAAAATTGATAACGTCCTTTATAATACTTCTTTCCCGAAAAGTCTCACTCCTTTTTCGCCTAACACGGTAGAGATTTCTACAACCCCTAGCTTCCTAAACATGACCAAGAGCCTCCCAAACAAAGGCTCTCAAAAGCTCTTTGTCCAAAGTTCTCTCACACATAACAGTCCCAGGAATAAGGATATAGATTGAGGTGAACAAACTTGTGCACCTCTCAGAAAAAGATCTCTTAGACACCCTTGAAAAAAACCTTTATGTTCTCTTCAATCTCTCTCACCCTCTTAAACTATTGCATGAAGCTCTCAAGAACTTTCTCAAAAATCTCTTATAAACTTTGCAGGCAAAACTCTCTATTTTTTTTTCTCTGTCACTTGTTAAG